TAATATTATAATATATTAATAAAACTGTTTTATTTAGGCTTTGCTACAATGATGCAATCAAAGTAAATTATTTAATTATTTAAATTATTTAAAATAGAATTTAATCTGAATATTTCAATTGTAATTTCACACTACTTTTCTTATTGTATAACAAAACAAAACAACAGTTTTGCTCTGCTTGTTCATAACAGAAATCATGAGATTAATTGTGATTAATTGACAGACCTAACAGTACAGCTAAAAATATCTTTATAGTTTTGTGGGGAAAAATTAGATAATATTTTATTTTGGGTTTGTACTGTACAAGCATTAACAAGTTATTTATTATTTAAATGATTTAAAATATTTTATTTATATGTATATTTTCTTTGTAATATCACACTTATTTTTCTCACATTGTATAAATTAGCTTTTTATAAATTAAAATATATAAGTGCCTTTATTCCTCTCAGGGATCATCATAATTCTGGATACTTAAGTGGCATCAAAAAGAAAAAAGAAAAGAAAAGCTGACTCCTCATTAAAGTTAGAAATCAGATCTAAAATGCTCTATACATAATTAGATTACAAGTCTACTGCACAAACAAATACATCTAGTTTTGAAATATATAAACAAACAGTGTGAATGGGAGACACTGTATTTATTTACTGTATTTAATGTTTTGAGAAACGCTTTGATGGAGGGCAGATCATACTGTAACTACATGAAAATAATCGGATGGTGGGATCTGTCTCCAGATGTGCTATAAATAGACTGCACCAGTTTATCGTTACATCATTTGTGACAGATTGTAATTTGACTGATAGAGAGCTATGCGACCACCAGCTGTTACATCACACAAGCGACCACCTCTGTGGGGGGGTGACCACGATCACCCTCCTCATCATCACCCATGACGTCATCACTCCTATGTCACAGCATCAGGGGTTGTCGTTAACGCCCCCCTCGGTCCCGATCAGGAAGTGAATCTGTGGGAAATAGAAAAAACGGTCCCTAGAATGACATAGAAGCCGGTGAGGTGGGGTAGACCGAGACACCGGGACTAACGCAGGACTCGACACCTATTTGGATTCATCCAGGTGCAAAACCACGTTATCTTTGGAAGGCAGAAAGCACTGGAGAAAATGCTGATTAAAGAATTGTAAGTGCAGCGTTATTTTTGGATCTGATTGTGATGTGGGAGCATCCTCTGTCTGTCCATGCAGCGCAGGTAGGCTACCAGAGGCCATGGCGACATTGTAAACTTGACTTTCTCACAGTTCACATTTAAAGCCCTTGATCGTGAATATTTTTGAGACATTTAATATATAAATGGCTTTGGTGCATATTTATCAATGTACCTGGGCCTCCAGTAGCTACACTTTATGTGTGTTTAAAACGTGCCTGTGACGTTTTGACTGGTGCAATTATAACATTACCTCTGAATATTAATATATTTTTTTATCAATTAGACGCTTTTAAGAGGATGTTTTGGCACAGATATCCCATCAACCGAGTTTAATTGTCATTGTGTTATTGATACGCTCGTGAAGGTGAAACGGAGCGAATTGAGCACTATATTAAATGACGCCTGTGTATTTATACTAATACTTTCAGAAACATCCCGTTCATTCATCACCATGTGGCCATGAGATTGGCTATATTCAAATTTTCGTTAAACCGTCCGCGCTTTTCAGAACAACTGGATCCGTTCACCTTGCGCACGTTTCATTGAACCGCGCGACTAACTATAACTTGATGATATACTCCAAACCTCCCCCCGCCAGTCACCTTTGAAATATTAATAACCTTTCTTTGCCCACAAACACAGAAGGCACCGGCAGAAAGATCACTGAAACCATATGAGGCTTTATTCATCTTCAAACAGTGCAGATGATATTATAGCCTAATTCATAATATTTTCTGACGTGTTTATTGGATTTAGATGGGTTTTGGGTAGTGTACACATTAAAAAAAAAATATATAATAAATATTTATTTTGAAATAAATATTTTTTAAATTAAAAATAATTTCTGTTAGTAATTTTCAGGGAGTCTGTTAGCAACTCAAATCGTATTTTGTCGCCTCTATCGTCAAACTATCGCAAAGACGTTTTCAACGTGATAAATTTAAAGGTGTAAACCCACTCTAATAAAGTGAAAAATATTGACAGTAATTTTGTTTTGTTAGCACAAGATTCAGACAGCGATTGAGCAGCTGTTGCCAGGGCCGGATTTACGCATAGGCTTTCTAGGCACGTGCCTATGCTTGCTCGTCCAGGAATTGAGCACACCGCGTTCCGATATTAAATGGCGCCTGTGTATTTATACTAATACTTTCAGAAACATCCCGTTCATTCATCACCATGTGGCCATGAGATTGGCTATATTCAAATTTTCGTTAAACCGTCCGCGCTTTTCAGAACAGCTGGATCCGTTCACCTTGCGCATGTTTCATTGAACCGCGCGACGAACTATAACTTGATAATATACTCCAAACCTCCCCCGCCAGCTAAAAATGACAAACTATTTCCATGTCTTCAACCTTTTTTATGTACGGAAATCATGCTTTCTTTCTCCCGTTCTTTCTCACACTCGCACACACAGTACAGACATGCACTCGCGCACACACGCGGCGACGCGGACAGAAACTTGTCATCAGCGCCGCGGCTGCCCCGCAAATTTATCAATAAAAGAGCTGAAAAGCCTGCTTGGGTGGTAATATTAGGCCTATTATATTAATAGGGAAGGGGGCCCCAAAAAATTGTTTTGCCTGCGTCACGGAAAGAGGTAAATTCGGCCCTGGCTGTTGCCATGGTTACTTCCTACGCAAAGTCGATTTTTGTTCGCTTGAGTTATAGCGCACTCTGAAGTAAACTTCTTTGGTTACTGTGTAAACTTAGGGCACTTTCATTTGGTTAGGCTGGGACACCAGCATTATACCAGTTAACAAGCAAACCATCTGGTTTTTCTCATAGCAGGGACACAGGCTACATTTGTCCTTAAAGTGATAGTTCACCCTAAATTGAAAATTCTGTCATTAATTACTCACCCTCATGTTGTCCCAAACCCGTAAGACCTTTGTTCATCTTTGGAACACAAATTAAGATATTTTTTTATGAAATCCGAGAGCTTTCTGACCCTGCATAGACAGCAAGGGAACTACCACGTTCAAGGCACAGAAACGTAGAAAGAACATCGTTAAAATGGCCCATGTGACATCAGTGGTTCAACCTTAATTTTATGAAACTATGAGAATACTTTTAGTGCACAAAGAAAACAAAAATAACAACTTTATTCAATGATTTCTTCTATTCCGGTCAGTCTCCACCACCATTCACGACAGTACCACGACACATGCGTGTGCATTCCTCTGCTTGTAAACAAATCACATCCGTGTTCTACGTCAGAACGCCGGCTCCTGCGTCAAGCAGCATCACATGCATGTGTCGTGGTACTGTTTGGAATGACATGAGGGTGAGTAATTAATGACAGAATTTTCATTTTTGGGTGAACTATCCCTATCAGAAATACCTCTTTCTCTTTAATTCCCCTGTTGAGGGGTTCTTGCAGGAATGAGCACGCACACATCTTCTGAATGACTCAGCCACGAGCTGAATTTCTTCAACGCGACGCATGTAACAAGGACGCGCTGCAAACGTATTATCATGTGTCATACGTTCCTCGTCGCCGGCATCTCTCTGACATCACTTTCAGCCACGTCATGGAGATTTCAAGGAATAGAGAGGGTTCCGCAGAGAACGAGGTGTCCATTATGCAACATATGAAGCTTATGATTTTAAATAAAAACATGACATAGTGTTAATCTTCATATTTTAGAAATGAGCTTACTGCAATAATAAACGAATAATAACAAACGGCACGTTGTTAAGAGGAACCTGTTCTCTTGGCTCTAAAGTGGATGCTTGTACACCTCAGGTCCCTCAGGGGTTGCTGTCCATGGTACTTTCACTAATGCACAAAAATAACTTTCAACACTAAAAATACCCTTGGGTGAAGAATTAGACCTTTAACAGGAATTGAAATGTGGTTTGAGTTTCAATTTTGATCAGTTCCAATTTGAATGTTCCTTATATATACTCTTTTTGGATAGTTAAGATGAGATTTTCTTTAATTATTATTTAAATTTATGAAGGTAATAAGGTGTTTAAAAACAGTAGTGAAATGAGATCCATATAAATTTTAAACTTAAATCTTGATGTTTATAATAAAAAAGTATTTTTTAAGTTTTATTAGACATAAGTAGTCTACTATTTGTAGGCTATGTGAGCTAAAGCAGTGAGCTCTTGTTCTGTGTGCCTCTTTCTCACTGCTCTGGTGACACTTTCCTGTGATCCAGTTCACCTCCAGGATTCAGACACAATGTTTTCTGGTTCTCCTACTTAACTTATATGCCATAAAACCTTTTTAGTCACACGTGCCATGCCAATTTTACAATCTATATGGGAGTTTCTCAACACTTCTGGCCTGTGAAATTTTAGAAAATAATCTCTTAACTAGTTTATTTTGTTTGTCTCACTAACAACATCCAACAGTGTATAAAAATCCATGTGAATTCTGCCATTTGTCTTTTTTTTGTTACAAAATCATTTTCACAGAATAAATATTGAAATGGTTTATGATTATTTAAATTTAGATGACCATAGTTTTAATTATGTAATGATTCATATTTTCATAGTTTAAGACTGAAAAACGGGCTTTAAAGGGTTAGTTCACCCAAAAATGAAAATTCTGTCATTAATTACTCACCCTCATGGCGTTTCAAACCTTTAAGAAAAGGGTAACATCATAAATATTATTCTAAATAATAATAACATAAATAAGATGCATTAGAAAACTTCAAAAATAAGTTATGAAATGTCACATTATTATGTCTTAATCTCTGTCTGAATGCATTTTGTTTCACATATTTAGTAAAATAGTGAAGCTGACCTTTCAGCTGAATATTGAATTTCAGAATCGTATTTGTAAACTTAACTGTCTTATTACCGAAACAATAAGTAAAGACTTTCTTATACAGCGAAAAGCTGCCATGCAGGCAAAGGCATTTATAATGCAGAAAGTAGCCTGGGTGTCATGGAGGCAGAGGACATGAGACACCAAATCCAGCATGGTGACCGATAGTCCCTGTTCAGGACACTCAGCAGGCAGCACTCAGGAGGGCAAGGTGACTCCTGCTATTAGCAGATGCTAACAGCAAACAGTAAAACACACCTGTGCGACCATGGCCTTTGATAAATGGCGAGACTTCCCTCTGAGTTTATGAAGCATCTGATATATGGTGAGGATAGTGCAAAATCATGTTCATAATCAGTATTTTTGATTTGTTTTCCAGTAAAAATATCAGAATTATCCTAACCTCTTATTCTCATCAAAGCATGGACTTCTTTGCCAATGATCTTGTCATACATTAAAGGTGAACCTGGTCCTTGACCTCCTGACAAGCTCATGTGTCCTGTCACAGAAGCCCTCATAAGTCAGATGTAGACAGTCCTGAGGGGTATTTTGTGTGTGTGTGTGTGTGTGTGTGTGTCATAAGGCAGATAATGAGAGAGCTGTGCTGGATTGGAGTGCGGTAGTGGTGTTGTCTTACTCCTAAGAAGTATTGATTATATATGGGAGCTGCACAGAGTTTGTTACACTGCCAACTACCATCCAGAAACAGTACACAGATATCAGAGATGTGCTTGACAAGGAATAGCTTTTATAGGTTTGCTAATATGAACAGGTTCATTTTGTATTCTGATACTTTAAGCCACTAAATATAACATGTGTTGAAGAGACAAAGCCAAGGAGGTCCTGATGCAGAGATTGTGTTATAGTCTCTTTAACATCTATTTTGCAAGTGCTGTAAGTTATGGTTTATTAGGAATATGAGATGAGCTGAAAATGACTGTGGAAAAATATCAACAAAATTGCTTTGAAACAGAGGGTATGTAACATTAGTGCCAGCTTCCCAAACACTGTTTTCCACTGTGCACTGAGAAATTTTTCTTAGCTTCATTAGTGATAAAATAATTGTCAAAAATCGAATGGAAAAAGTGCAAAGATAGCTTTATATTTAAGTTATATTTATTTGATATTTTAGCGGACTTATGTTGGTGTAAAAATGCAGCATATATATTTTTTTTTATTTGTTTTTAAAAAAAATTTAACATATATATATGCACTATACTGTTAAAAAGTTTGGGATCAGTAAGATTTTTTAAAAGAAATTAATACTTTTATTCAGCAAGGACACATTAAATTGATCAAACATAAAGTAACACAGTAACATTTATAATGCTACAAAATTTCTACTTCAAATAAATGCTGTTCTTTTGATGTTTCTATTCATCAAAGAATCCTAAAAAAAGTATACCTTTTCACAAAAAATATAAAATAGCACAACTGTTTTTAACATTGATAATAATAATAATAGTAGTAATAATAAATAAACGAATAAATTAAATTTATTACATAATAAAAGTAATACATCACATTCTAAAATATATTAAAACAGAAAACATTAAAATTTTTAATAATATTTCACAATATCACTGTTTTTACTGTATTTTGATTAAATAAATGCAGCCATGAAATAATTAAAAAACGTATTTATTTCAAACTTTTCACTGAGTATGTTGTGGTAATAATTTAAGAAATTGTCAGAATAGTGCCCAAAGAAAAATCCTATTCATTTCTGCAGTTTAAGAGACATGATGGTAATAGCTATAATGATAGAGCAAACATGCTTATTACTGGTAGATTTTAAATAATTTGTTTTTCTTGCTCTCTTGCAGTCGAGTGATCCTACCGATTTCTGTGGAGGAGGTAAGTGCAAATTGAAAAAAGTGTGTGTTTGTGAGTGTGTGTTTGTGTACAGCACACAGTGAACGCTGGTAATGACACTGAACCCAAACATTGTTTTGGTATGTATGTGTGCGGCGTCAGACGCTGATTTGCATGTGTTGAGTTCGGATGACTCAGTCTTAGCTGGTTTTGACAGCAGGGGAGTCACGATGTAGTTTCGTGATGCTCTCCATGTGCACTAAGGCACAGATCCGCACACCACTCTGTCATTCAGTCACTTATGAGTCAGTTATCTCAGCAAGAGGATGAATCTTTCTCCTCTCATGCTGTTTGATTCCGTACAGCCCGTGCAGAAACACTAATGCATAATTTCTCTCAGTTTGCGCCAATAATAATAGCTGTGCTTTTGGCCTTGTCAGCAATTCTCACATCTTTGCTTCCTCTCTGTCTCTCATTCTTTCCTCTGCCCCATTCAGACTGTGCATTCCCTGTGTCTCCCAGTCTCCTCATTTCCCATGATCCTCTAATCCTCTAGCGTGTCATTCTATTCAGTGATCTGGTCGTGAATATCTAAAGAGTTACCTGATACCACCTCCTTCTGCTTCTCTTTCGACGAGCTTTTCTCGTCGTCTAGCCTCACGCACATTTGTGATCTGTAAAGAAATAAAATTCACACTTTCACTTTTATGCTTGAGGTGGCAAAAGGGGGGAAGTGCCAACTGCCAGTTTATTTTGAGCATTAAAGGTGCAGTGTGTAATTTTTGACCACAAATCAGAATCAGTATATGCTTCATTCGCCAAGTGTGCTTTTTGCCTGAACAATGACTGACTGTTGGAAATTGCTGTTTTGTCAAGTTTTGCAAATAATACACACTGCAACTTTAAAGGAATAGTTCACCACAAAATGAAACAGATTTGACAGAGATTTGGAGAAATTTAGCTTTACATCACTTGCTCACTAATGGATCCTCTGCAGTGAATGGGTGTTGCCAGAATGAGAGTCCAAACAGCTGATAAAAACATCACAATAATCCTCAAGTAATCCACATGACTCCAGTCCACCAAATAACGCCTTTTGAAGTGAAAATCTGTGTGTTTGTAAGAAACAAATTCAACATTAAAGGATTAGTTCACTTCCAGAAAAAAATTCATGATAATTTACTCAATCCCATGTCATTCAAGATGTTCATGTCTTTCTTTCTTCAGTCGAAAATAAATTAAGGTTTTTGAGGAAAACATTCCATGGATTTTTCTCCATATAATGGAATTCAATGGGAGCAAAGGGGTAGAAGGTCTAAATTGCAGTTTCAAGCAGCTTCAACGGGCTCTACACGATCCCAACCGAGGAATAAGGGTCTTATCTAGTGAAACGATTGGTCATTTTCAAAAAAAAAAACTTTTTAACCACAAATGCTCATCTTGCACTAGCTCGACTTCACACATTACGTAGTCAGGTTGGAAAGGTCACGTGTGACCAGGGCTCGAATTGAGGGGGGATGCGGGGGATGGCATCCCCTCGGTTGAAAAAAAATGACAAAAAGCATCCCCTCAGTAATAGTACCATCCACCCTTACCATCCCCTTTGGATTAATAATGTGTATTAGATAAAACTTATCATGCCAATGAAATGTTAAAATTATCTACTTAAGAGAATTCACGAATAACGGCGATTGGCCAATCAGAACTCGTTTCTGTAACAAGTTGCGCACAAGTGGAAGCAAGTTTTCTTCATTTTTCGCGCAAAATGGTTCAAGAGCAACTTTTGAATTTCTTTAAAAAGAAGACAACAGAAAAGTTATGATTTTTCCTTCATTAGAATTTAAAAACATTCCCCTGACATAATGTTATTGTGCTGTATGTGTAACTGTGAGGGATTGAGAGATGATTGGAGAGCTGACATTATCGAGTCATCAACCTTACTAAAACACGTCTTGAGAGTCCAAAAGCATTCACTGCGCGATGCAGCCTATTAGAATACAGGTAAAATAACCTTATAATTCAAGCAATTAAAGAAAAAATACCCATGTATGAGTTTTTATATTTTTATATTCATTGCACAAGCAATGTACTTTTCTGAATATCAGTAGGCCTACATGCGCGCAAGCACAAATGTGCTATTAATTTTATACAACAGTGCATAGTAACACAGTGTTTCGTTCCTTGAATGAATCAGTTTTTGAACAAATCAAGTGAGCCAGTGATTCAACGGCCCATTCAGATGGACACTTTTGTTTCGTTTCTAATTGAATCAGCCGTTTTGAATGAATCGTTTGATTTGAACGATTCAATAAATCATTTATCAAAACAGGGGCTTGCTGCCACCTACTGGTGGTTTTATTGTCATTATAATTTATCCATGACAAGCCTAAACCAGCCAAGGTTTCAGCACAAAAGCACATTTAGCAAAATATTGTTTAATTATCAATATTGACCAAAATTCCTCCATTTCAGGCCCAAAAAGGAAAAAAAAGCTTATAAATAATAGTTCATTTAATAAGGCTAATTTTTCATTACATAAAAACCTTTTTTAAAAATTAGACAAATTTTGTAATCATTATGTAAAATTAGCTACAGGACCCACATAGCCCCCCGAAAAAATAAATTGACCACACCATCCCCCCTGAATTTTTTTCACAATTCGACCACTGCGTGTGACGTAGACGGAAGTACCAACCCAGCGTTTACAAAGTGAACGTGCAAAGAAAGTCAAACGCCCTTTACAAAAAAAAGGTAAAACAACAATGTCAGACGATTTTGAAGTTGGAGGAGAAAATGAGATGGAGTTTTTCGCCCTACCCTAACTTTTTGAACTGGAGTATACAACTAAGAACTAAACGCACGTGACCTTTCCAACGTGATTACGTGAATGCATGAAGTCCCGGATGCGCATCGCAGAGCAAGTGCAAGACAAGCATTTGTGGTTAAAAAGTATATACATTTTTTATTTTTTTTTAGAAAATGAACAATCGTTTAGCTAGATGAGATCCTCATTCCTTGGCTGGGATCGTGTAGAGGGATCGTTCTTTAAAGCTGCATTGAAACTGCAATTTGGACCTTCAACCCATTGGGTCCCATTGAAGTCCACTATATGGAGAAAAATCCTGGAATATTTTCCTCAAAAACCTTAATTTCTTTCGACTGAAGAAAGAAAGACATCTTTCTTTCAAGAAACAAATCTTGGATGACATGGGGGTGAGTAAATTATCAGGAAATTTTTATTGTGGAAGTGAACTAATCCTTTAAAGTGACCCTATTCCCTTTTTAAGGTTCCTAATATTGTTTTGGGAGTCTCCTACAATAGGTTTACATGCATGCAAGGTCCAAAAACGCTTTCATTTTCTCAAAATATGCATTTAACATCACCTCATTTTCCAACAATTCTCAAACGATTCGTTCGAAGCAATTCTAAGATTCAGTCTCTCTAAACCCCTCCTTTCTGTATGCTACTCTGCTCTGATTGGTCAGATGGCCCAGTCTGTTGTGAGCCGTATTTTGACAACTTGATAGAAAATATAAACATCTATTATTTCTCATGCTTACAGGGTGTGATTCAGTGCAGCCAGTTGGTCCAGATAAACTGGGTACTGAGCCATCTTTCAAGAGCAAGCGTTTTGTGAATCCCGTGTTGAACTCCCCACGATTAGAGAAGCAGTCGTCAGTAAAATGACAGGAACACAAAAAAAGATTGGGGTTGTACTAAAGTTGTTCGCGCCCAGCCAACGTATAACATAGGTGAGATTCAAATTACCGACGACTCGTTTAGGCTGTTCAGAGTCGATTCTTTCTTTTGGGAGACAATAACTTAATTTATCGTGCACTTTGCTGATCATTTATATTCACATACAGCTACATTACACACTGCATTAAAGGCAATATTCGAAATGGCATAATAAGGGCATTTTAAGGCGTTTTTACATTCACACTAGGCTTGCCGCGATAGACGGTGCTGACGGTGATACCGTTAAGCCGCAACACCGGTTACGTCACTTGCCCACCGCGGCACCGACCCCCACCGTCGTTTTGATTTTTTATAGTAATAAAAATCATTTAGTTCAGTAAAAGACACTACAATTAAAAACTGAACGTGGCTGCTCAATGCAGCGTGCCGAACGACAGTCGCATCACAGATCAGATTTCATTTATCCAGTGAGGAGAGTGAGTCGAGCTGACTGACAAGAAGAGTGAGGTGAGACAGACAAGACGATCGCGGATGATTTAGTTTCGAAACGAGATGCAAAAGCGCCTGTTTGGCAATATTTTGGATTTTGAAAAGCCTGTTGA